TAATACTCAGTGAAGATAAATCACTCCTCTGAGACGTTTAGCTTCGTGAGCAATTTGCGCTTAAGCTCTTGAGCTTTGTAAACAGGTTCATTTCAGCAACATGGTTATAATTAGTCTGGCACACACATGAAAGGGAGCCTAAATCTCCATCCGCAGGCTGGAAATCATCAGTATGAAAGGTTCATATGCACCTTACTAAATACAACTTAGAAAAATGACAAAATACACCGTCTGTCCAAAAAAAAGTCACCACTGGGATTTAGCTAAGCAAATAGGTCAAAGCCTTCCATTGGATAATAGGTCTAGGTTCAGCAACGTTATATTCCCAAAAAATGACATTAGCTGCCTACCTGAATATACTGAATGGCCAGGTTTTTCCATCAATGGATTTTTCTACCCTGATGGCACATTGGGCAAATTCCAAGATGACAATGCCAGGGTTCCTTGGGCTCAGATTGTGAAAGAGAGGTTCAGGGAGCATGAGACATCATTCTCACACATGGATTGGCCACCACAGAGTCCAGACCTTAACCCCATTGAGAATATTTGGGATGTGCTGGAGAAGACTTTATATCAGTGGTCTGACTCTCCCATCATCATAACAAGATCTTGGTGAATAATGAATGCAACTCTGGATGGAAATAAATACATTTACTATACTTCTAAGCACTTTATATGGTTGGAGAAGTTAATATGTCAAATCTTTTTGCACTTTCCTATGTGGTGATATAGAGGACTGTATTTATAACATGTGTTTTACTTTAGTATTGTTCCTCTTTTTTTAGCCCCATTATAAATATCTTGCTGCTGTTAACAGTTGGCTGCTTGCTCCTCATCCAAACTTTCCTGATTTACAACTCTCCACCCAGCAATGCTCACGCTCCCTCCTGATTGGAGAGCAGTAGCTCAGCAGGGGGTGTGTTGGACCTCGCCAGAGAGACCGCTGCTCTCACAGCAACACAGTGGTGCTTCTCTGCAGATTGCTGGCCGGAATAAAGATTTTGAGCTAGTGTGCGATTCAAAAAAAATAATTTAAAGTGATATTAAACTTAAAAAAGTTTTTTTTTATGCTTATGGGGCCAGAATTGCGTTACATTTTTTAAAATTCTTTACATGTTTTTATTTCCACCTTCTCTAATGGTATCCAAACTGCTAGCTCCACCCCCCTGTACGGGTGCCGCCATCAGCCAGCAGGCTGCTGTGGAGGCGCCCATACGTGCATGCTCACAGCCACGCCCATACCTAGCTGTGTGCGCCTATAGACACACCCCCACTCTTGCACTCAGTTTGACTGACGTAAGAAGGAGCTCCTCTACCCTCACTGCCTTCCTCAATAACCAAGAAGTTCGGAGAACCCCGAGTATCTTCCTTGTAGCGGTGAAGGATACAAGCGGTCACAGGTAAGTGTGAGGGGACAGGGTTTTAGAAAAGTGCTGGGTGTTTTTTACCTTAATGCAGTATTTTTGCTTTGATGGAGACTACAAGAGGGATTTAGATGTTATGTTAATTTGCTAAATATTTTATGAAAGAAAACAAAAGAAGAAGATATAAAAGGTCCCTTTATAAAAATGTCAGAAATCTTTAAAACAAAATCAACCAAAAACTATCATAGTTTCTAATAAAATCATTCATTGGCACTAAAAAGCCTTTTTTTTTTTGATTACCTTACTTTCACTTCAAGATCTTGTCCTTACTGCCTGGCCCCTGATCTAACAGAGGGCCACACATGGGTTTCACCTAAATCGGGATATTCAAAGCACGTCTGAATTGTGCAGGGACCAGTACATGCAAATGTACAGTGATCACATGCATAATGTTACTTAACTGTTCTTGATCTGCTATAATCAGATCACATTAAACTTAATCAGCAGCAAAAAAGTATTTAGCTTTAAATGTAGCAGACATTAGGCCATTCTTATCATCCTCATTGTAAAAAGAAAATAGTTTTATAAAAAGGTAACAAGCAAACAAATTATGGTAACATGTTCCACAATGTAGCCAGTTGACACTGGTAGCACATGAGGACAACGGCAATAATGCTGAAACAGAGGCAAATAAAGCACAATGTCCCTTTCTCCAGCCATCTCTGGGTTCATTAGGAATGTATATAAAGCAGCTCTGACAATGTAATAGATAGTAATAAGCTTGCCTCCTCAGGAAGAGCAGCTGTACTTTACACTTTATGGACCAGTCCCTGGCTGAACTTCCTGGTCAGCAGTTTTAGTGTGCCTGAATTGTTGAATGTTCTTCACCAAAATGTCTACAATAATCCAGTGGAGGCAATGATACACTATATAGACAAAAGTATAAGGGCACCTCTCCAAATATTACTAAGTTTAGGTGCTTCCAGTGAAGGCTACTGTAAAGGCTGTAGCATATAAATATATTTTAGACAATTTTGCACTTCCAATCTTTTGGCAACAGTTCAGCAAAGACCCTTTCCAACATAACTGTACCCCTTTGCACAAAGCCAGCTCTATGAAGACACGGTTTGAAGGTTTTAATAATTTGGTGTGGAGGAACTTGAGTGACCTGCACAGAGCCCTGAAATCAACAACCCTACTGAACAGTTGGAATGCCATTTGTGAGCCAGGCCCTCCCCTCCAACATCAGTACCTGAACTTGCAAATGCTCTTTTGGCTGAACGGCCACAAATTCCCACAGACACTCAAAAATAGTAGGGGAGAGCACAACAGTATATTAATGTCCATGGTTTTGAAATGGGATGTCAAAAAAGCTTATATAGGGGTGATGGTCAGGTGTACACAAAGCGGCTATATAGTGTAGGTAAACGGAAGTTAATTCTCTAAACTACAGACTTGAGAAACAATTTACACAGGGAAAAAGATACCGAGTCCACATGATCAGGCAGAGGCAAGAACATGCCTAGGTATCAAAAAGATGAGTCACATGCACATCAAAATCCTTACTCAATACGTCATACTGATTTGCCTGATGAAGGGACCCTAGGAAATGTCGCATTTATGTGATATAATGGCTATGTGTCAATAAAGATGTACTGATTAAGGATTTTGGTGAGCCGGCTACTCATCGTTTCCTTTATTTGTACAGAGCCATCCGTATGCCACTGTAGCACCCACTAGAACTTCATAAGGATTTATCAGTCTGGTGTGCAGTGGGTTATGGACAATAAAATGCCTGTGTATCAGACACATGCAAGCTAATGATCTGCTGTATGCAACAGTGCTGTAGGTGCAGGTGAAGGCTTAGGAAACAGTCTGTGAACATGTAGCTTATAAGTAGAAAACACCCAGTTGTGATTACTACTACAATGACACAAACTGTTACAGGAAGAAGATTCTGGCAGCCCTTAAATTTGAGCTACAGGCAGACCACTTTTCAGCCACTCTTGTGATTTAGACACCACTGCTAGGTCCCAGACTTCTCTTCAGACCACAACAATAAAGCATGGTCCAGCACCAAACCTAGCCTGTGATTGCACAAAAAAGAAGCAGCATTAAGCAGAATTATGAGGTCACATCCCTACTTTCCCTTTTTTTTGTGGACTTCATACTGTTAGACAAATATAATTTGTAAATGGCTGGGGGTGCTGATGCTTCCTCAGTCTCAGGATTGATGTGCAGATGATTACACTAAGCTCATATTCAGGATATTAAGACAGATTCAGGAAAATATTATAGTTGTATGTAGAAATACATCTAAGTGTAGATTTGAAGTTTGCATACATGTGCACGTTTAAGAGAATTGTAACCTTCTGGGATGTTACTAATCTTGCCAAACGTATCACAGGGGTGTTAGGTCTCTATAATTGACTCAGTTACTCAATTATATGTTTTTATGCTAGAAAATCCATTCTACTCAGATAGAACCGACCACCCCCAAAAAAGTGGAGATCTAATAAAATTATTTAACCCCTTTGTGCCTCTTTATAAACTCACCTATTGTCCAGAAAAATTCTCCAAAATCTCGACCCCTTGGCTAGAATATATTGCCATTAATGGAGCTGATGCTTGTCTGTGCGCTACACAACCACCTCGGTTGGTAATTAGGGTAGAGAAGAATATACAAAGATAGTGTTGATAGAGGAAGACAACATCATAATATTGTAGGCTAGGAACAGACCGCACTTCCCAGAGCATTCCAATACTTCAGCCTTTATTGAAACTCACAGCAAATTCAGTATAACAGTGAATAAAAGTGTATAAAGTAGCAAATACCAACAATGCAAACCCCCAAACAGCTACAACCTCTCACATGTTTCAAAAAGGACAGAAGGGCGCCCAACCTAGTGCAGATTATTTTTTATTTTAAAAGACACAAAGATAAAATTGCAATGGTACTCACAATGGAGGGCCATAAAACAGCTTGTGTGGATGTTTTGGAAGAAACAGCAGTTAAGACTGCAATCTGCCTGTGTGCCACTGTAGTGTGGCGGCATTGACGCGTTTCCGGGGTCAAGCCCCCTTCCTCAGAACGTCTCTCACATGTTTCACCCATATGCTTATTCATAGAGGTCTAACATGCGAGAGGTTGTAGCTAGTTGGGGGTTTGCGTTGTTGGTATTTGCTTTCAATAAAGTCTGAAGTATTGAAATTCTCTGGATAGTGCGGCCTGTTCATATACTACTACTACACTCCAAGGTGGAGACGCACCTATTAGACCAGCATCTGGGAAGTCTTGATGGTGGCTAAGGAATTGGAGCGGTGAGATTTCCTTTGGCTCTACATTGTAGGCTAGGCTTTGACCATGTGTTAATGTTGGTAAACTTTATTGTAAGTATTATAAGTCATATGATAGGCTGACATTTTTTTTTTGTATTTGTAAAAAAAGTATTTAAACTTTAATGACCACATAGTTTAATTAAATTGTGATTTTTGTGATGTCTGCCCTGAGTTCAGCTTTAAGGAAATCTTGTGGCCTTGTTTTGCCTCATGCATCCAGGCTTCAAACAGTTTTTTTTAAATACAAACTGAACATATTACTTACTTCGCCTGTAACAGAAGAGCATTTCTTATTACCTGATTTGCATTAGCTTGGAGGATCTTCTGTTGTGGTTCTGAAACTGTTGCAGTAGAAGTGGTGGCATAAGTGTATGTTACTTGAGGAATCAAGATAGTCCGCTTGTTGGCTGCTAGTGCTCTAAGACAGGGAACACTATTCTGATCTGTAATGGCAACAATTGTAGGTAACTGGGCAGTGACTGTGGGAATAGCAATGTTTATGGGATTGGCACTTGGGTTTAAAATTAGAGCTGGCTCCGATTTTGGGACACTGTCCACTTGCATTGGCTCTTTTTTAACACAAGACAAGTTCAAGGGTTCATCTTGAACAGAATAAACACTGCTCTGGAAAACACTAGTTATGGAAGGTCGCTCCAACCCATTTCCAAGCTGCTTTGGTAAAGATAAATCGAGAGGTTCCATTTGGTGCTCTTGGTCACCTTGTACCTCGTCTGATATTGTTGCACCATCTGAGTTTTTCACCGAAGAGAGGTTTAGTGGTGAGGAGGTTGTGCCACTCTCTGAACCATTTGCAGCCAATGGTTGGGAGGGCTCATTTTTGGAGGGGTTCTGCAAATCATTCTCATCATTCTGAACATCGCTGTCTTCTTGCAGTTCAGTATTCTTCTCTGGTGAGCTACCATTCTGATCAGCTTTCGGTGAAGATGACCTAGAAGACTGAAGAGAAATTTCTCCACATTGCATTTTTTCAAACCATTTCTTTACCACGTCTAGTGGTAGGTTTACCGAATCGGCAATTTTAGAAAGTTCTTCGGCACTTGGCTGTGCGTTCAGAGCATAGTAGGCTTTAAGAAGTGATTGGAGGTTTTTCAATGGTGGTTGACTAGGCGTAGGGTTTCCATCTGTAGTTTCCACTGAGGAAGATTCAGACCTTATGGTTTCAGCCTTGCTACTTTCAGGAAGTGGAGAACTGCTTTTCTGATCATAGTGCTTAGGTTCTTGAAGTGCATTGGAATCCGTTGGTTGATCTTCAGAAAGCACGCAAGTGCTGTCCTCCGTAAGCTTTGTATCCTTCTCAGTTTTAATAGTTAGATCTTCTGGCAATTTTTCCGTCTTGCAGATTTCTGCTGGGACTTCTTTTTTTAGGTTCTGTGGAACAATTGAAAACTGGCTTGGCTGCTCTAAGCTGTAATTGATGATTATTTTGGTTGTCCCATCTTGATCAACCAAAGGAAGACTAAATGCTGAAATGACAGAATGACCCGCTTGCTGTATGGTTGCAGACGTAATAGTCCCTTGTTCTTTGGATGTAAGATTGGCGTGGTTATTTTCTAACACTTGTCTGATTACATTCCCATCAACAGCTACCTTAAGAACATTTTGAATGTCACTAAGGTTAATACTAATAGGTGATACCAGGCCCATAGTTGGTAGAACAACAGCTTGTACTACACCCTGAGAACTGGTTGCCTGGAGAGGGTTAATACTACTAAATAGCCCATTTGGCAAAGGGGCAGAACAGTTGATTCCTGACGCAACCACAATGGGCTTAATTTCATAATCCACAGGTTCCGTTTTAATTTGGTTTACTGGAAGTTGCTCCTGCAAAGGCTTGTTCTCGATCTTTTGCCGAATTGGTGGACGTGCTGGACTGCCAGGGGATGCAGAAAGGGAAGGGGAGGAGCACTGGGGGGTCTTCAAACCAGAACGCGCACGTCCATTTACTGGAATTACGCCAATACATTTTTTACTGCTTATGTGGGAACTGTAGGAACCAGAATGGGAAAATCTCTTCTTGCAGTTTGGGCATTCATATGGCTTCTCTCCTAAAACAAAATGAAACACAAAAGCCTATATGTCAACAACCTTGATGAATACAAATACTGTTCAATCATTTCCAGTTAGTACATAGCTATGTTCAAACTTTAAAATACAGTATTTACAGCATGCAAAGTCAAATATCTCCAGGCAGCAAGGATGAAAAGGTGCCATCAATGGACTTACCACTGTGAATCCGTAAATGTTCCTTTAGATGGTGTTTGTACTTGAAAGCTTTTCCACATTCAGTGCATTTAAATTTTCTGTTTCCTCCAGACTGTGTTACATGCCTCTGTAAGATAGGAAAATTAATCACCAGATCATATGAGGAACCTGACATTCTGACTTGGTACTGTACTAGAGAAAAAAAAATGCACAGATTTCGGCCTAGATTTAAAATAAAAGTTTTTTTTTTACAATGTTATTCCCTGTGCCTCACAATAAAGGAAACGGTCTTTGCTAACCTGAGATGTGGTGAGACGTGATTTTTAAATCATATCTAAACCCAAAAACAAAAAAGTAATACGTTACAGCTTACCAGCCCTAAAAAATAATGGCTGCATTGGTTTTATTTTTTTGCAGTCTTTTCTTTTCTCCTGGTGATCCTGCAAAACACTTCCTGTTCCTTTGTGTCTACACTTGCTCCACTGTACCTATGAAGGTGGCCATGGTTGTCATACAGACTGCACTTCATCCCCATTACAAATGGTGAATATAGTTGTCAGGCTGAAAAAAGACACCATAGTTGTCAGGCTGAAAAAAGTCCATCGAGTTCAACCTATAACATGGTAGATTGATGGGACTAGCAACAGGGGTTCTTTGTTCTTTATTTTCAGCACACAGGAAAAACAAGGGACATTTCTTGCAAGATCAACATGTTAATTCTGTACTTGATGGAAAGCCTTGTTTGTAGCCTAAAAAACGTGCACACTGCCCGTTCAGCATTGCGGTCATCGGAAGCCCGCCCCTCAGGGGGGCGGGCTTGCGATCATCGCAAGTACGATCTGCCTGTCCAAGATGGGCAGATCGCACGTTTTTTAAATTACTTTACAACCATCGTAAGACTAATGTCTTGCGATGGTTGTAAAGTGTATGTCCACCTTTAGAGTCTTTGTTGTGATCTTTAAAGAACTTTGAGAATTAATTACATAACAGTACATACATTAAAACGTCAGGGGTGGCTTGTTTAAAAGGTGTATGTATACCCAAACCCTTTTTTTTAGTTATAGATAGCAAAGGGAACGGTTAAAAAAACCTTAGGTCAGTTTTTTTGGCGGTGTCCCGATTTCAATTCACTTCTGATTGTGGTGATGAAACATGAACTAAGAGTAAATCTCTACAAATCGAGGGGAATACACCTCTTAGACAACTGTTCCCCATTGGAAGATGTCCCCTCTATTCCTGTTCCTGGGACAACTCTGAAATTTTGGTTTTCCCATCATTCAACTGGAAAAATTGAGAGGATGAATCTCTCCTGTGCGGACACATATAACAATAAAAACAATTGACAGGGATTCTAATCTTTCCCCACCCGGATTAAAAATAACGTTTTGGCTATTCATACAATTTAACCCCTTCGTGACTGACGACGTACAGTGTACGTCGCCAGCATCAGGGCTGTTTAAACAGACTCCCGGTGACTTTTGCCGCCGGGAGTCTGTTTAAACTTGTAAAGCCGACTGTCGGCTTTACAACAGAAGCGATTCTGGCGACTTACCTGTCGTCAGATCGATCCTGTGTCCCGAAGAAGGGGCCGCCCCCCCGCCGCTGTGCTTCCTGGGCTCCGTTGCCCCTCCTACGGGCCCGGCACCAGCGTCCTTGGTGTCCGCGGGGAGCAGGCCGGCGAACTTCCATTCATCGATCCCCTCCCCGTTCTATGGGACCGGGAGCGATGCAGATTGCATCACTTCCGGTCCCTGGGCTGTCAGTTCTGGGCTCCTGCAGCCCAGCTATAAGCTATTGAAGTGCGATCTGCACTTCAATAGCTCATTTCTAGTGTAAAGGTGACACTGGGGGTCTTTTGGACCCCCAGCATCACTTTAAAGAGTACCTGTCACCACCATCTGCTATCACATGGGGGGGCTTGTAAGGAGCAATGTTTGTGAACAGTGAACTTCCTGCTCACTCATACCATAGCACAGCCTTTCTCAACCGGGTGCCTTCCGACTTACTCAGCAGTGCCTCAAAATTTTCACGCAGTGTTATGCCTCCGATTTGAAAGAGGGGGGACTCTGATGTAAAGGAGGGGGGACTCTGATGTAAAGGAGGGGGGACTCTGATGTAAAGGAGGGGGGACTCTGATGTAAAGGAGGGGGGACTCTGATGTAAAGGAGGATGCAAATCACTATATTAGATAAGACTCTGGTATGGATTCAGTGACTGAAAAAAAGGTTGAGAAACGCTGCCAAAGCAGAACAAATATCAACTTTCATTTGCCGTCTCTTTCTGCTTAATATGGCAGCTCACATACAGGTTGTACAGCTAGGTGACATGAATGTTACTCTACCATACACAGAGGTATATGTATAAACAATTTGCAGAGCCATGCAACCTACAAAACCAAAAGTACATTTGTTCTGTCTGCATCATGGTCACTGGATGGAAGAATAGGAAATAAACACTCCTTTTCTTTGCTCCTCAGCTACATCTCATGGCCACGATATGGTATTTTCTTGATATTACATTGGACATGGAAAGAAAATATGCCAACAACATTTGTTTTGCCTCCATTCGCACATAACAAGTGTAAATGCAGTTTTGCAGGATAAATGGCTCTGCGAATTGTCTTTATACACGCCCTATATACTCTGGAATCATATCAGTGCATGGTTTCCTTTCTGGAAGCTGCATTGCATCATCAAGAGCTTTCCCAGGTTTGGATCTGCTTATCTATAAAACATACTGAGGAAGAATGAGCACACATAAGCCAAATCACAGACTTCGTTGTAGCAATACATCTCTTTTACATTAAACACAAGAATTCTGCCATAAAATGCAATTGTGTAAGAAAAATAGATCCTGTTAAACTTCTTCCTTTTCTATGGACTGTTTGGCACCGGTTGTGCTTCCTCCGAGCTGCAGGTGTAGAAACAGACAGGAAGTGAAGGATGTGAGGCAGTGCTGTCCATCTAAAGGCTTGCTATCACTTACTTGATCTTTTCCTGACTTGTGTGATGTCATATGACGGTCCAGCTGGGTTCTGTAGGCAAACGTGTAGCTGCACATAGAACAACTGAAGTTGTCCTCATTCTTTTCATGCCGGTATTTGATGTGTTCCTTCAAGGAAGTGTAACGTTTGTATCCCCTGTCACAATACGGACATGTCAGGAGCTGTGAGAATGCGTCTGGAGTTCCTGCAAACAGAGATCACACTATGACACAGCTGCACCCGGGAGTCTAACACAATACATACAATGCAATACAATAGTCTTCACTTCATCCCTGGCAGTAATAAGTTATTAAGGCAATAGCATACGATATTCTGAGGACCCAGGTACCTACTCCACAGGGCCATGATGTTGTGGGTCTCCCTTTTGTCTTTGGGATTATTATTATTATACAGGATTTATATTGCGCAGCGCTTTACAATATAAGGAAGACATTACAATCACAATACAATTCAAGACAAGATGGTAAGGAGGGCCCTGCCCGTGAGGGCTTACAATCTAAAAGGGAGGGGCCAGTGATACATGAGGAGGTAGCTGTGTGGGGATGAATTGTTTGAGAATGTGATGGTTCAGTGGTTAGGTTGAGGTGGGATAGGCTTCCCTGAAGAGATGAGTCTTTAGGGAGATTAATACTTAAGTTTTTTTAAGGATAGGGATCTTAGCCCTGTGTTCTATACAATACTTGTTTTTCACATTTTTTAAATCTGTTGTTGCATCTCTGTATCGCAGATCTCCTGTAGCTTCTTTGCAGCCACTTCCTGTATACTTGCACTTTAGCAACGGCTGCATGGAAATTTTCAGAGCATGTACCTGCTAGTGACAACAGTGGGCCATGGCTGCATATTGTGTGTTGAAGCAGAAGGTTATGGAACGTTTATGGGATCGCAGCACCAAACCCTGCAGGATACAGGCTATTTCATGCAATCATTCTTTTTAATCAAGTCCCAATCCCGAGGTTTAGTTATTATTAGCAAATGGGCAGCTCAAGTAGCCAAGTATGGCTTTGGTGTTCAGTCCTTTAATCTCTCAGACCTTTTTTTTTTTTTTGTCTTTACAGTTCTGTACCTCTGTAAGTTATAACTTAAGGGAGAACTATGAGGCGAGTGATTTCCACTCATCCTCATAGTTAGAGCCGACATGTGACATTGCAACTGTCACAGGTCGGCTCTATCAATCGGGAAGTGAGCAGAAACATGCAGCCGATCCGCTCACTTCCCGATCGTCTCTCTACAGTGAGCGGTGGCTGTCGGTCACCACTCCCCACAGGGACTCCCCTCCTCCAGCGCTGAGTGGAGGAATGGACGGGGGTGGGGGTATCGGGCACTATAGATAGGCAGAGCCAGCTGTCACTCCTGCAGATGGGTGGTTCACGACAGTATTGTCAGGATCCGTCCCGGCTGCGGCGGTATCCGTGCCGTGACCCTAAAGAGAACTATGGGGAAAAACACTTACCTCTTAGTTCTCTTGACTGATCAGCTTTCTTAGGTTTTCTGTGCTCCTACTGCAGTGCTCTAGGTTGACATAGTGCCCTGATACAGATCTGCATTGCAGGAAGAGAGGAGCCATGTCTGACCAGGTTTCCTGTGCTTCTATGTCGGTGCTTTAGGCTGACATAGTGCCCTGATACAGATCTGTATTGCAGGAAGAAGAGGTGGGCTGTGTCTGACCGGGTTTGTTAGAGTTCCTGCACTTATTCCTGTGATCTAGGCTAACATAGTGTCTTGGTGCAGAGTTGTATTGCAGGGGCCATGTCTGACCAGGTTTGTTAGGTTTCCTGTGCTCCTACACCAGTGCTCTAGGCCGACATTGTCCTGGTATAGAACTGTATTGCAGGAAGAAGAGACAGGGTGTGTTTGATCAGGTCTGTTAGATTTTGGAATGTACTCGGTAAGTTGGCCAAACTGGTGCCCATTGGACTGCACAGTTATGTTTAAACAACCTGCACAACTGCTACAATGGGAAGGTGGCAGTAAGACTATGAAACGGTAGTTGTTGGTACGATCTTGCTATCGGTTTTAATTAATTTTCTTGTTCTTTAAGAGACCACAACAGAAACACCTAGCTGTTCATGATATCATCTCTCACACATCCAGGAATAAAATCAGTATGCTGGTGGTGACTGACTTTCATGCTGTCAAGATGAAGGAGGTCTGCTTGAAGGTTGCACACCGCGTCATTCACCTTTTATCTTCATACAAAGCGGCTTCACAATGAACCTTACACACACACACACGGCAGCTTTGCCACTTTGGTATTTTTTGAACTCATTATTGTACAAACTCAGAATCTTATTTAAAGTGAAACCATAGCTCATTTGGTTGGAGACGACATTATGAACTGTCACAGTGAAGCATGCCTGAAGGTAATATTTGCATTCTCACTGGTTTTGCCATGTGTCTGGTATGTTATATACAAATTTGTAGAATTTCCCTCTAGCGGGTACCTGTGCGTCGCACAGTGTAATCAGCTTCCTAGATAAATAACTGAATAGATAGAACAAATGGCAGGATAAGACAGGGCTAATCAACCTCGACACTCAAGCGGTGCTAAATCTACAAATCCCATCATGCCTATGGGAGTCCTATCTGTGGCTGTCAGTTTTGCAATGCTTCATGGGCAGGGCTGCCGATAGGGGCGTACAGACACCTCTCCTGTTCCGGACCCCTATAAAAGGACAACAGGGGGGGGGGGCTGGCAGTTCATCAACTACAAGTGCTCTGGGCAGCTGCTGTACAGCCACCCTGATCACTTGTACTAGCCTGAGATCGTGCTGCCCCCTCTCCGTAGTTTTTGGGGTCCCCTGCTCCTCTGGTGGGCCTAGCACCATGGCAGATGGGGTCAGGATGGAGAGCAGGAGCAGACCAATCTGCGATGTGATGAATGAAACAGGAAGCGCTGTGCTCTCAGTGCTTCCTGATTCAGAGCCGTCACAAACCAGCTGAAGTGCTGGGTAAGCAGATGATCAAGCACAATCTATGCTTGACTGTCTGTACTGGAGGGCAGAAGAGACATCAGGAGTCTAACAGACCCCTGATGTCTCCATAAAGAGAACCTGTCCCCTTCAAATGCTGTCACACAGGGGCTTCTGAGCCCCTTTGTGATAGCAAAAGTGAAAGAAGGTGATAAAAAAATAAAATAATAAAAAAAAGTAAAACCATCCCTGCCAACCTCGCCCTCTGATTTAAATGAACACGTGTGTACGGCATGCATGTGTATTTAAATGGGGGGGAATGGGGGCCTGCCATGTAGGCTGTACAGGGCTCCATGACTCCTAATGGCAGCCCTGCTCATAGGAATTGTAGTTTCACAATAACTGGAATGCCAAGGTGGCCTACCCCTGGGATAAGCCAACTGAAACGCGTTACATTAGTCCCCTGTAAATATGCTTGGAGAGGCTAAAGCAGCAGAACACAATCACTGTACAGCACCCCAAAGGAAAGAGAACAGTATGTACACATTGACAAATCAATGAAACATGGACTATAATTGGTTGCTATGGGTTACAGCACTTTCTATATAATCAGCAGTAATCTTTAACCATTTATAAGATCATCTCCTCAGCTGCGCAGCCACTGGTATATAATAAATGCCTTTCTGAATTTTTAAGCACAGGTCACATTACGAGAGTCTGCAGAAAAAAAAAAAACGTTCAATTTCTCTGTCCGCAGACGTAAGAGATGGTGTACAATTTTCCCGAGTCCGACGTCTGTAGAAGTCACACATTTATATTGCGGCTCTGACCTCCAGAATGAAGAATGACTTGAGATATGATAACAGAGGTAAGGTGTTATATCTCTTCTTCATTGTAATCTCTCCCTCATCATACACGGATCATAATTCAGAGTATTTTTATCACAATCTAGTCTTTGCTACTAGACACAATTTACAGCAGACGGTTACTATGTGGCACTATTATTATCTGCAACAATTCTTTAATGTCAGATGAGTGCATGCATGGCTGTCTTCACTTGGAGAGCTCCAATTAAAACACATAAGCGCCAGTTTAAATGCAGACTTTCTTAAGCTGGCCATAGCTGGCCAAAAGGTTTTACCCATTCAAGCTCATGGTTAAAAAACAACACTTAATTCCCCCATCCACCCTAAAGAGCGTGGATGGCAGAATCTCATTTGCTGGCTACTGTATTCTGATAGCTGGTGACCACGGCTTTCACAATAACAGTGACCATTACAGTAGTGACTTAGGTGATTGGCTGCAGTCACTATTCGGCTAACAATTTTCCATCTGGGTCTAAGATTGAAAAATCGACCAACCAGCCACCCACTAATCCAATTTCGTCTGATTCTACAGAAAATTGATGAAATTGGATCTGTGGATGGCCAGATTTATAGTGAGGCAAGTCTTCTCTAGCATTGTGAACAGCATCAAGCAAAGATGCCCAAGCAGTGTCCCTTATGCTCGTAAATATTGCAAGATAAAATAATTTTGCTGTCTACTGCAACTAAATTCTTATTCCTCAAGCTGGCTGTACATGGCTTGAATTTTAGCCAATCTCTAGCATTAGACTTTTAAAAACTTAAAAATGCATTCAAGTACTTTAACTATTAACAGAAATGCTCCAATACTTACCCCGATACCGGAACTTCCGGTCAGAGGGAGATTTCCTCTGACTGGCAGTGCCGTAAGGGAACATGGAGCCGGCTTCCCAACCAATCAGCATTAAACTGACCAAACAGCATGGAGCCAGCTTCCAGGAAGCTATTCATGAACCCGGGCGACGTGTAATGACCCGATTGCCCGGGAAGACGGCTCAATGCTCCTGGAAGTATCATTATTCGGCAAGTACTGAAAGATAAATATCGGTACTCTTACTCGATACCGAAAAAACGGTATCGGTGCATCCCTAGTAGATCCTCAAATCATCTCTGAATTGGTGCCGACATTGTCCTTCCATCTGGACGGTGGCTACTTTTGTTCCCCATTGTCCGTGTGTGTGTTGTAAAGTAACCACCGCTCCAAGCTCGCTCTCGTGATAGACTAACATTTCAATACAAATTAGTAAACTAAACATGAGATTATAGTCCATCACGGGAGCGATCTTGGAGCGGTGACTACTTTACAACACACACATGGATCATGGGGAACTAAATTAGCCCCCCCTCCAGAAGGAAGGACAGTGTCGGCACCACAGGAGGATCTACAGCTGAATGATACATGAAAAAAAAAA